GCAGGCAGCACCATGGGAGGGGAAATCAGATTTCTAGAGACAAGGGTTCAGAGAGGGGAAAGTACTGTATTTATCTGAGTAAGGCAAGACCCACCCCCCCAAAAAATAAAAATCAGCATGGGGAAAAAGCCCCTTGTTTTATATTCGCATATGAAGCAGAGGAAGGAGCAAGGCAGCTGTTTGTGACTCTGACCCTAAGCCCAGAGGAGGGGTGGGTGGGTGTATGTGGTGAGGGGGGGAGATTCAAGACAACCTCTGAATTCATTTTCCAGGTATAGAATCTAAGATAACAAATTTATACATTTTCCATATATAGAATCAAATGATTGGGGGGCCGTTCTGTATTCAAGTAGATACGGTATCAGTGCTCCACTTGGAAGTTTCGTCCGTGCTGTCTGGGCAAGCGGAAGGGGTTGCTTCTGCTGGCAATGACACTCTCACCAGAGCCAACACGAGATTCTGCACGAGTGGGGAGAGCAGGCACGTGGCTCTGGTCCCGAGATCTCCAGGCCCGCTCCACTGCAAGACAATTTTGTGGTATCCACAAGATGCATTTCAGCCCCACTGCAAATCGTTTTCATTCAGCGACTGAAATTGTTACTGCTAAGCAATCTTGAGGATAAGGCCTTCCTTCAGCATGTGCTTCCCAACATATGCTGCAACCAACAATCCCAGAGCCAAGCGTTGAGTGATTAATGATGATAACTCATTTAACATCCACCTTGAAGGAAAGGCAGAGTTTCCACTGTACTCGCATAGTGCATCCGTCGCTTCCCTCTAGCACAGCTCATTCACTTCTGATTATACTGGCATCACCCTGAAGTCGCACATACCAACCTGAATGCCAGGGTGTGCTATGCTGGAGCTGACAGATTGGGACCTCCAGCAGCGGCAGGCCCACCACCATTTTTCTACAATACCATACGTACAACTTTGCATTCCTTCCCAGGAAGTGGCAAATTGCTCATCTGCTGCACCAGTGAAGATGATCACTGAGCACAGCCCCACGGGCAGCCTTTGAATATTTATGCATCTTAAATAATATATATTTGGAAGGGGGTTGCAAGTGCAGAAACTCACTGGAGAGGTTCTGCTGACATCAGAGAGACAATACAATGCAACCATCTTCTGGCATCCTTAGCAGAACCATTGACCCCGGCTGTATCTTATTTACTAGCCCAACTGTGCACCACTTTTTGCACGGTCAGGTTTTCACTGGTAGGATGACACAGCCTCCAGCCAACTAATGGAAGGGACCCAAACTTTCTACCTGTGATAGTTACTTAGAGTGAGAGACCCACCTATATAAAATGTGCTTCTTCTACTGCTATGTAAGCAGCCTTCACCAGGCATTATTAAGATCACAGAAAATGGACATAAATACCCTACTTCAAGCCCAGCTTTATTGGTGGTTCTTCTATCAAAACAGGAATTGGCACATCCTACCTCTGTACCATGCCATCAAGAGGATGCAGAATATTAGTTCCCTATTCAGCTTCAGGATGCTAAAGAGTTCCCGTTTTCCACAAATATACTAGAAGTCTAATCACACACACTTCCTGGCTTGTTGTTGGGAAAATGCAGCGAAGAATTTTCCACCACGACTACTTTGCAGTCCTTTTGTGACTATTTTCTGCAAAATTCCTTCCATCATTAGTTTACCGGATGGAGTTCTCATTCACAACTGGCAAATGCTGAAGACCGATGGCCAAGGGCAGATTTAAAAATCCAAAATCTGGGTATCTGCACAGGAGAACTGGCTCTTGGACTTGCACTCAGTGAATCATGGAAATGAGATAATGCCATGTGAACTGCGTGTCATTAGGAACAGCTCGGTTGTTGAATATCAGATGCTTCCAATGGCAGGCTTGAGAGCAAGCTACAAGGAATGATTCACACAAGAAACTCATTGAACAAATTTCAGCTGCTGCATCAGAAAATTGGTTCTGAACAATTTGCTAACAAAGAGAGGCAATATTTAAATAATGTATCATAAAATGATTCACCCAGTTCTCTGGGTAGCCTATGGGTGTGTCTGAGACTATCCCCATAACACATTTCTACTTCAAAAATGAAATGCCATTACTAGATTAAAAACAGTACCTTGAGGGAGTTTTCTTCTGGTTTGCTCAACTGCTGCACTGCAGAATTGTTAAATACTTAATACTCACTCATTTCCTAGCACCCTTTATCCAAGCATCTCAACCCCTGCTAGGTGCTTAGCATAACGCTCCGCTCACAGACTGCACGGAGAGAATAAATGATATGCCTGAAGACGGACCACCAGCAGCAGAGCTAAGAACAGGCCCTGTGAATCCTGGTGCTAACCACAGGCTGCAGCATCTTTCAAATCCAGAATCATTTTTCTATTCTACAATAATTTCCATTGCTGCTTTTCATTGTTCTACCGTTAATACACCTACTGCTGCTAAAAAACCCAAAACAGTAAGTTCAAGAAATGTCAGAAATTTTGCCTAAACCTTGAAAAAAGGGAAATGCATCTGCACAGAAGTCTTCTGAAACAGCAGTGCTGCCCAGGTCCTGCAGCACATCTTGGCACCACACAGTCCTTGGAAACCCTGGTAATGGTCTGGGCACTATGGAGGGCAAGTGAAAGCCAATCGCATCCGAACACTTGCACTACGAGAGGACTGCAGAGCACAGGTCTGTACAAGCGGAAACCCAAAGCCCCACAGATGAATGGACGTATCCAAGGGCCACAACAAGCCAGTGGCAGAGCTAAGAAAAAATCCAAGTCTGGTTCCCAACTGCCTTCTCTTAAGGGCTTATTCAGACCCAGCTGGAAAATATGTGGAGATGGGGAGAGCCTCTCACTTGCAATCAGCTGGATGTCTCTCTTGGTGCGCGCCACCTGATCAGAGAGCACGGCACGTTTGCTTCTCCATTTGGAAGTCACCCACCAGCCTCTCAGAGGAAGGTCTAGGTGGTGGGTACAGTTATTCAAAGCACCTTTCCTGCACTGAGCCTGTGGGAAGGTTTCTCTCTGGGGTAGCTACTCTACTACCTCTACCTGGCGCTTCCAACACGCTGCTTCATTGCTTGGGCTTCTGCCGCTCTGGCACACTGGTAGAAAGCAGTTCCAGGGTACAAAGGCAGCCCCCAGGCTGTGGAGAACGGCTCTCCGTCGTTTCCAAAAAACTAGGCATCTGAACTACAGACAGGGAGAGCATAAGCAGGACTCTGCTCTCTGGGAGAGACCAGCATTGGTAGCGACCTCCTGTTACAGGCTTAATTACTGCTCTGCTTGGAGCAGTCACACCCCCGTGCATCTTTCACACTTTGTGGACAAGCTACAACCAGGAAGGCTGCTACCAATAAGTGCTGTGCTCGGCTAATGACAGGAGAAAACCCAAGCTGCAATATGCGTTTTCTGAGCACCTGGATATAGCAATCACTTGGAAACCCTAGAGACTTGGGGTGGGGGAGCAGCCATGTGGGAACACTGCTTTGGGAGCAGGCTTCACCAGCCTGGTACTATTCTGGGCCATTTAGTATATATTTAAATTCAAATTCTGAGTGGGAGAGCAAAACAGGCATGAAATGAATTGATACTGTATATGTTAAAATTGCATTCAGACACCTCCTCTGGATGGATTATAGCAGCCTAAGGATTTTTGACTGGCTGGATCTAAGTTTCAAACCATGCAGCAATGTTTTAAGGAAAAAAATGTGAGTTCTGATTTAGCACCTGGACAGGGGTCAGACTAGCACACCCCTGGATCCCTACGGAGGTCCCAGCATGTTCTGCAGACTCCTGCATTACATGCAGCGCCCGAGACAGCCTCTTGCAGCACAGTGCGGCAGCCAACAAGATGACAACACCCACCCCAGTCCAGCGCTTCTCTTCAGGAGTTTTGTATTTTTAAGTGAATTTCATCCTGACATGACAGCCGCAGAGATGCTCTCAGCCCTGCAGGGGCCTGCACACATTTCCAGAGCACGCCACAGTGGAGGTGCTGCGTGGGCTACACGACAGCGTGCCAAACGACAGCAGAGAAGAAATATACTGGAGGCACTTTCCCTTGAACTGAGCTTGTTCAGCATCTCTCTCTCACAGGACTTTGATGGCAGGTGCTCTTAACTCTCAAACGGAGCTGATGGAAGGAACCGTGCCTGCTTCTCTAGTGTGAGATGATACAGGCCAAAACTAAGTTGCTGTCACCTTTGGGGGAGAAACAGGAGCCACAGGGAGGGCACAGGATGCTTGTTTTCTTCCATTTGCTGCACGGTTGAATTTGTGCTTTCCTTTGTCTCTTGGAGCCACAATTAGTCTCTCTTCCTAGCTAGACAGAAGCACCTTTATGAACACTCGTGGTGCTCTGGAGAGGTGCCGGAGGATTGGAAGAGGGCCAACGTGGTTCCCATCTTCAAAAAGGGGAGGAAAGAGGACCCAGGGAACTACAGGCCAGTCAGCCTTACCTTGATCCTGGGCAAGCTGTTCGAGAAAATTATTCTGGCAAGCATCCAGGAGGGGCCAGCAGGGAACGGCATGCTCAGGGGCAACCAGCACGGGTTCATCAGCGGCAGGTCCTGTCAGACCAACCTGGTGGCCTTTTACGACCAGGTCACTAAATCATTGGATGCAGGGGTGGCAGTGGATATAGTTTTCCTAGACTTCAGGAAGGCTTT